AGAGAACACTGCTTGAATTGCCACAGCCCTGACTAATGTTTGGAAAAAAAAAGTATTTATCCAAAGTTGAAAGACAGAACATGATTTTCCCTTGCACGAACTGAAAACCTTGAGGTATGCTCTAGTTCTAAGGACAGGGAAAACCTCCTCCTGCAGATATTGAACAGTGAGTTGTCTGCAGATTTCTTAGAAAAAAAAAACAACCCACCTGGCAATGTTTTGCCTCTTACGCTGTTCTAACTTCAAACACAAGTATCTTGTCTGATCTGCCGTATTTACAGAATTACGGTGAGTGTGGCCAGCAATCAGCAATTAACGGTTGTGCTCATGGTAAAGTTTATGTTAAGAACTTAATCCAGTACAGTATGAAGTGTAAAACTTTGCATGTGGTTTGATGAAGAAATAATATTTAAAAGTGAATAAAAGAAAGATTATCCTTCGAAACATATTACCAAAAAGGCAGCATTGCTCCTCCTCTTCCTCTGTCATGCTACACTACTTTAAGGTCAAAAAATTGCTGGCTGAAAATGGGGAAATATTGCAGGACTTCAACAGCAAGTCTAACAGGCAAATGCATTATTTTCAGTAATGTAAGTTCCTCTTTATGAAACTGGAACTGTATTAAAATTTGATTGTGAAATAGACTCGAATTTTGAAGAGCGGCTGTTTTTTTAAGTTATCCCACTTCTGAAAAATTCTTGACACTTCCTTGTTTTTTCTTTATTTTTTTTTCGTACTCCATACCAGCACGAATCCTGACAGTACAAAAACTGCATAGCATGTTAATAAGGTCCATGATGCGACTTCCCAGTGTTGTGGCTGTAACCCGCTGAGCAGAGCCACGGAGCCGGATCCCTCCTAGAGACAATATGTATACATTGCAGCTTCATCTGATCTGCCCATAATAAATAATAATAGATAAATATAGATAATAATTAATAATAGATAAATATAGATAATAATGGATAAATAATAATAGATAAATAATAAAGGCTTCTGAACACTGGCAAATCTTTCTCAAATTGCAGTGTCTTTCTTCTGCTGCAGACTGGATCTTGGATAGACAAAAACATTTTTTCTGACCCAAAAAGGTAGCTCTCAAGTTGAGTAATAATTAGGAATTTCATTCTCAGAATCACCTCCATTTAGCAAAATCACTTGTGTTCTGTCTTAAGAGTAGGCCAACATTATTCTAATTGATTTGCTTGCTCTGCTACAAGGTTCATAACAATTAATAAATGGGTGGATAACTATTCATGGTCAGGGTAAGTAATGAACCTCCAGTTCACCAGTACTCCATCTCTCAAGCCTGTGTAGGCTGATAGAGATGCTGATGTGGTAAAGTGTCTCACACATCATCAGCATATGCATCTCACCCGCTTTTTGGGTGAAGCCATTGTACTGCCACACTCCATTCTGACAACCAATATAAGGACAAACACCTCAACAGTAGCACCCACATCACTTAGAAGAACAGGCCACACAATCGCCACATTAGTATGTGAACACCCAGGAGGACATGTTTTGGTGTCCTACATAACAGGAACGCTTCTTGCAATGAGCTGAAATGAAACTATCCTACCATTACAAAGAAACTCCCACTGACAACAAATCCCAGATTCCTCTTTCTTTGCTGCAAATATCAAGACACACATGTGTTAACCAGTACAAAACACAGGCTGTGCTAAAAATTAGGATACTTGGGATAAGCCTTGGTCCCTGAGGTGAGTACACTGTACAATTAGGCTGAGCACAGCTTAACGAACACTTCATAGACAGTATTTAATCAGTCTCAACCAGCTCGCTTCTCAAATCACTCATAGAAGTCTTCATTAAATTTGGCTGAAGGTTTAAGATCTAAATATATGATCTCCTGCAGGTGTCTCCTTTCTTTCCCTTGAACTGGTGGAAATGAACCAGCTGAGGAGGACAAGGATGGCTGGGAAGCCTGAATGTTTCCTGACTTCAGGTTCCCTGATGTTAATCAACAGCAGAACAAGGGCAGAAATTTTATTTTCATCAGAATTTTGCCAATGTATGCATATTTTCTATTTTTTATTTATTTTCAATTAATATCAGCTTAAATCAGTACCATTAATTTTTCTCATAGAAGGCAAAAATGACTTTCAACTGCCCAAGTATTTATCAAACATTTTCACTTAACTTTGCTATGGCATAATTTTGATTTAAATAGGCAAGCCTATTTGAAAAGGTGATTTCTAATTCTTCCCTACTTTGAAGGAATTCTCAGTAGGTCAAACTTATTTTTATCTACACACACACACATCATGGCTCCTGAATATTCCCCTAACTAGAAAGAATGTTTTTGAAAGATTGATTCAACCGAAGAATGGATCTATGCTTTATGATTTTTGTAGCAAGTACATGCTTATGAACCGGGAGATTTGATGCAACTTAGGGAAATCCTTCACATTTCTTGTAAGCACACCAAGCGCATTCCGCTGGTTCGCTGCTCCCTCTCGAGGCAGAAGTGCAGAAGTTTGCTCTTCCTCTGCCACCTACACTCAGCAAATCTTGTAAGGGAATTCAGCCTAAGAAAAAATAAATATCTGCATGAAGGTTTGTAATGGCAATTAAATCAGCTTCTAAATCAATTTAAATGGGTAAAGCACACCTTGCTTGTAGATTCAGGTCAGTCAGCGAGAGACAAGAGGCAGGTACTGAAGTTTTAACAGCTGCCACTTTCCATGCTAAGCCTATCAGACTGCCTGTTCTGGGAGCCATGGGATACCTGAAAGTCTGAGGTATGAGCCTGTATATGCAAAGAGAGAACTTTTAAGGACACAGAAGAGGCAAATCTGGCATGCCTGAGCAATGCAATCAGAAATGAACCTTAAACCTTACAAGTTTCAAATTTAAGGCATTGGGTAATCTATCCAGCAAATATTGCCTTATCTAAGTTATTCTGATTTCAGGTGTTAGTCTCCTGCAAAAAAAATGTTCAATATTTACTTCATTCTTTTACAGGTCTCCAGTGTCCGTGGACCACATTCACAAGGCTACACCCCTGCACACTAGCAGGGGTGTTCACAGACCCTTGCCAAGGTAGCTGTTGGGGCAGAAGCCACCCTATCTGATCCATGAGAAAGAAAGATGGATCAGTACTGTGGGCAAAATGACGAGTGAACTGAGAAGAAAACTGTCTGTACTAACTACTAAGAACTTCAATGATAAATCTTCCTTTAGAGGTTCACAGTCCTAGATTTTTAGTGGCATCACTCTTAAATACAGCCAGAGACGATGGCAGCCAAACCCATGGCCTTTACATGCAGTCTGCTGTGGACCAGAGAATACCCTATTGCCCGGACAACTGAGCTGAATCCAGGCCTCCAGCCTGCTTTTAACAACTAAGCTGTGACCACAAAGCCATGACTCCGAGTGACAGCAGTTACACTTCAGCACTTTGTGTAAAGCTGAACCCCTGGATGTATGTCAAGGAATATTCTGAGTATGCCAACAACATTCAGAACCAACTGTACCAAGATGTAGAGGCAACAAAACACCTAACCTAACCACATACGGGTGCTGAACTGCTCAGCAGGAACAGACATAGGGCTGTGGATAGCACTCTTTGATGTTTTTGTGAGGTCACTGAGTTGTAGGTGTCTTTGCTCACTTGTAAATATAGTACAAGCGCTCATGAGTAGAGTAGAAACCTGGTGAGGTGGTTCTTCATTGTGGGAATGAAACACTTGATAAAACACCATGGTTGGAAGTTGAAATGAGAGAAACTCTCCTTAAAATTAAAGCTCTCATTTAAAGATTCATAAGCTACCAACATTTTACCAGGCTGAAGTATAAAATGCAATTAAATCATCACCCACTGTACAAATGGTGCTGCACACAGCACAGGTAAAGAGCATGCTAATACTTAGGCCACGTGAATTTTAGTCTGTTAGAATACTCTGCAGATCTTTTCTGCTCTATGTCAGACACTGCTTTTGAAAGAACAGGAAGTAATCCTGGGAATTTCTGTGCTATGATGCACATGAGAAGAACATCTTACTGCTCCCTTCTCAGCTTAAAACCTACAAGACATAATTAACATAAAAAATATACAGAGGAAACTATATCAGACACCCAGGGGAAATGCTACAGTCATCTAATTACTTAAAAAAAAAAAAAAAAAAGTATTTGACTGGCATGTTTAATATCAGTCAGTAAAGAGGCTGAGTTTGACATTCACAGAATCACTGAATGGCTTGGGCTGGAAGGGACTTTAAAGAAAATCTAGTTTCAACCCCCCTGCCATTGGCAGGAATGCCACCCACCAGAACAGGTTGCCCAAAGCCCCATCCACCCTGGCCTTGAACAACTCCAAGGATGGGGCATCCCTGTCCTACCACTATCTGCCCAAGTAAACGAGTCCTTCTCCATCTTTTTTTTTTTTATAAGACCCCTTTAAGAACTGAAAAGCTGCAATGAAGTTTCCCTAGAGCCTCTTCTTCTCCAGGCTTAACACCCCCAGCTCTCTCAGCCTTTCTTCATATGGTGGTGCTCCAGCCCTTGATCACCTTCGTGGCCCTCCTCTGGAGCTGCTCTAACAGCCCCACATCCTTCTGGTGCTGGGGACCCCAGACCTGGATGCAGCACTCCAGGTGGAGCCTCACGAGGGCAGGGCAGAGGGGCACAATCACCTCTCTCTCCCTGCCGGCCACTCCTCTGATAGTGCAGCCCAGGACGCAGTTGTCCCTTCTGGGCTGCAGGTATGCACTGCTGGCTTGTATCGAGCTTTTCATCCACCAGAACCCCCAAGTCCTTCTCTGCAGGGCTGCTCTCAGTGAGTTCTTCTCCCAGTCTATGCTCATGTCTGGGATTGCCTCAACCCAGGTGCAGCACCTTGCACTTGGACTTGTTGAACCTCATTAGGTTCACACGGACCCACTTCATATGTCTCTTGCTTGAGAACGTACTGACATATTTAGGTTTTAAGCCAGATGAGCTTTTTGTATTTTTCAAGCCATCACCCAGTAACCTACCTGGTTAATGTCAGCATTGCGGGGTAGAAAATATACAATGTTGTTGGTGATCTTCTTGGAGAGCCTGAAAATTTCAAATGTAGAAGCCAGTAAAGGAAAAAAAGAGGAATGGGGATGGATAAATTGTTATATATTCATTCACCCTGAAAACATGTCCCAAATTACATTATTATGCAGTAATGGAATGGCTGTGTAGGTTAAATACTGTTCTGAAATGCAGAAATTACTACTGTCTAAATGCAGAAACTGTTTCACCATTATTTCACTAGAAAGCTAAAAACTTACTAATTTCCCTAGAAAATTTAGCTGGACTGCAGATAAGTATTTGAGAAATTGAAATGTGGTTTATAGCCAGTACATTTTGTTTGATACCCACTTTCTAATCCATTTTACATAATCATCCCACATATGCGAACAAAGATTTCTTTACCCTTAGAAGTATGGCTATAATTTAGCAAAAGAAGAAAGAACTGAGATTATTTGGAAAATAAAAACATCACATTTGAGGAAGTTATTACGCAAATGCCTTCCCAACTGAATGATTGCTCCCTACCACAGGAATACATTAATGAAATTTTATACATTAATTAAAAGAGTTAATATTTTGCTTGTATTCCTCTGCGCTTTCCCATATCACAACTGGATGCTAGTTTACATTGTAAACAAGACAGCTTTCATTACAAAAAAAGAATTCACGATCAATCATAACTTATATGACTAATTACTGCCTACATGTTACACTTGCCTACTTGATTAACTCCGTTTTTTGGAATAAAATCCTATAAAGAAATTAAAAACGTTGAATATTTAAGTTAGAAGATGTGAACATTTTTCTAAAAGTTTTTTCTTCCTTTTAAGAATAACCCTATATGACAATTACTTTTTTGAATAATAAAAATATTTAATTTTAGGGAGTCGATTTCATATAGCTGAGGCTGGAGGAGAATTAAACAAACAAATACCTGTGACATTAACTGAAGCTTACATAAGTTCCAACCAGCAAATTGGACATGGCAAAGCCCATCTCAAAAGAGGGAAGGGGAGAAAGACAGAAAACATAAATGGGTGAAAATCACAAGCATGAGGACAAACAACTTTGAAAGGATATCCATCTGGGCAGATCATTGTTTGGATATCGAAGATTTCAGCAGTGGCATAGTCAGGCCCACCCCAGGGAGGGCTGAGGAACACCACATCAGCTTTCAGGTCAGCAGCCAGCACCATGAAGTCTCCGCACATAAACTCAATCTTGTCGGCCACACCATACACCTCGGCATTGCTGCGTGCAAGGCTGAGTTTCTCTGGATCAATATCAATAGCGATCACTGCAAATGAACAAGAGAGGAAAGGAAACACACAAGTAACATGAGTTGTGAAGCACACAAACCATCTGACCACCACATGGATGCCACCCAATTGCCAGGTAGAAGCTTCAGAGTGAAGATGTTCTCATGCAGCCACCAGATAGAAGTCACATCTGTAATTTCGTTTTGTGTGCTGTGATGACTTCATTTTGTAGGCAGTAGTAGACATGAAGCTTCAGTTCCTCAAAGGGGAAGAAAGATCATTTACTTTGTTGTAGAGGCTCCACAAATAAAGGAATGGCTGCATTCACACCAAAGCATGGAAACACCACAGCCAAGGCTCAGTTGCTGTTGCAGAACTGAGAAACCTCTGCATGCCATTAGTTTTGGGAGTCTTACATCTACTACCATGACAATCCCCCACCTCAGCTCAAGTACAGGACAGGCAAAGCTGTCTGCCTACGGGAGGCAGTCCTCCTTTCTTCCATCTTGGACAGAAGCCCAACAGCTTAAACAGTGGCAACTGGAAGCTCATTTTTCTCCTGTTAAAGATAAAACTTTTATCTTGTGGCTGATCGTGTCGCACTGAAAACTGAGTACCCAATAAAGCACAAAAGTTATAATAAAAGGGCAGTAGAAAATCATACATATTTAGCTAAAAAATATAAGAAACGATGTGAAATTTAGAAAATATTTATAGAATGCATCATAGCTTACCAAATTTAATGCAGTACAAACTAACATTTTTCTCGCTCAGAAATTAGTCAGAGGTGTTATTTGAGCTGGTATTTTACCAAAGTGTTTGATGAGTAGAGGAGGATTAAGTAGTCAATATTTTACAGAAAGCGCTCTCATGATTCACTGCAGTTTCATTACCTGGCAACAGGAACTAATACTAGTATCAAGTTATCATCACTTCTCTGTATCTGGTCCTGCTGAACCTGCAGGTGATCCCATTCCAGCATTTTAAATACTGTTCACATGTAGCATGTTTTTTGAGTACATAGACCTAATGTAACTGTTGAGAAAAGCAGCAGCCATTTGGTGTTGCTGCAGGCTGGCACTGCAAACAGTACTTAACCTTTATCAGCAGTCTTCAGAAAATCCTACAGACTAAGTTCCTATGCCATGTAAAGGTAACTTCGACTAGTACAAAATAAAAACAACTTTGACTTAAAGCATTAAATAGGTTTTATAGGTCCTTTTTAGGAAGAGCTTAGGAAGCTCTTATGATGATTCTGATGAAGCAAAAAAGATTATGTTGCTTCAGAAGCACTGAATAAAATTTATCATTGAACAAAGTCCATACTCAGATTTTTAGGGAAAACGACTGAAGAAACAAAACAGTGTGCTACACACTTACCTCTTTTCGAGGTCAAAGCAAACTGGATAGCATTTCCTCCTACCCCACAGAATGCATCCACTATTGTATCACAGTTGAACGCCTGAGCAACACGGACTGCGATATGCTCAGCAATCTTCTCAGGAGTGACAGAAAACCAGCCCTCTGCAAAGGGAAGAGAAGTGTATTTTTGCCACTTAGTTCAAGGTCACCTAAATTAAAAACAAACAGCTGAAGGTTTAGCATTAATCCCAGCAATTCTAGCTTAATGCATTCAACCAGGAAATACAGGCTTTCAAGATGATAAACTCTGGTCAGCCCAGGGATCTGCTAAGCAAACAAAGTCTCACTGGAGTGTATAGATATGCCTCATTCTCGGAGAATGCTCTGTTGAACTTGGTGCCTGTCAAAGAAAAGTACACCAACACAGCTGCAAAAAACTTTATATATTCATAATTATATATATTCATATATATATACATATTCACAATTATATTCACAATTATGCTCTGCAACAAGTAAAAACAGAAATACATCCTCTTACATACTATTATTTTCTTTACAGCAGTGTGTTGTCTGCCAAATAATTTACGTGTTTATATGGAAAAGCATTAGAAATTAAAGACTTATAGAAACAACATACAAAGTAGTAATCCTAATTCCTCATTTACCTATGAACTGATGATTTGGAAGTGGTTTCCATGTAAACATGGAAAAATGTGACCTTGAAAATGACTGCTGAAAGACTTTTTATTTTAACAGAAAAAAATTACATTCATCAGCACATTTCAAATTCTCACAAAATTATTTCATAAAATATACAGAACAGAGTGATAGAATAGATTCAATAGATAGAATCATTAAGTTTGGAAACGACTTCCAAGATCATCTCAAAATAAAGTCATCCAGTTTCTGAGAAAGTCCTGATCAAGTATTATTGGGGTATGATCATCCGCAAGCATCAGGACTATCAGAAAGAGGGGTGTCCCATGCTAGGAGCTCTACTATAAGCTCTAAGGAAGTCCTTCAGTTTTTTTGTTTGTCCACACAGCGGCTGATGGAATTTGTCCAGAGCTGCAAACACACACTCAGTAATACTCCACTTAGCAAGAAAATTAGTAATAAACTGCGAGAAGGTCACCAGTTTGGATACATTTTATACCACCAAGTCAGTGTACTTTGTACTAAACGTACCTCTGTCTAGTTTAATCCCCTCATCAAACCGAGAGAACAGCCTGTAACGTTGTGCCCAGTACTTGACTAGCTCAGGATCTGCAGCAATCTCAGCAGGTATAGATCCCAACGCAATTTTATTCTTTCTCTTCCTTCTTTTCTCCTTCTTCTTTGTAGTATTTTTTTCATCTACAACTGGAAGACACTGCAAAAGTTAACAATTACTGTTCTCATAGGCTAGAAATGCAACTGGTAAATAGATAAGAGTCAAGATATAGAATGTTCAACGCTACTAAATGACCTTTATTACTGTTTGCCAGACTATGCAGATTTGTGGTTTAAGTCAAAAAAGGGCATCCTATATAACAAAGGAATAAAGTAATCTATCGTGTATCTGTAACAGTCCTAAAATGAAAAGATTTCACCCATTATGTAATTTAGCAGGGAAGACATGATCTTCAACTGATGGCAAGAAGCTCTACATAGTGAGCAACCAAATGGATCAGAGATTAATTTAATGTCCATATATATAAAAAAAAAAAAAAAAGAATAAGAACCAATCTAGATGAGAACTTTGCAGTAGAACTCTAACATAACTGTGGGAAGGATTAAACTCTATGCAGAAACCTGAATAATCCTATTTCATTTTTTTCCAAGTGTTAAATTAGTAGGTTCACACCATAAACGATATTTTTCCTAGGAAAAATATTTCAACAATGCATGTTGCCTAAAGCTCAGCCATGTGCATCTGTGAACTCAAATTTGGATAGTCCATGCCTCTACCTGAAATTAATCACCCTTACCTTACAGGAGAAAAAGATGTGTGAGCAAGAGACCTGTTAGACCACGCGTAAGATTAACAACAAGTGTTCAAATAAAGAAATACTATCTAAATTAAAGGTGAGACATGGGATTTAAGTGCTCCAGGAACAAGTTACTTTCACTGATACAGCTCTAAATTACCACTTGGGAGAGAGGAAGTCTTTTTGAATAAACAGCATAAATAAATAGCACACAATGCTGTAATTTGGGAGAGAAATTGCCAATTCATGTCCAGTTTGTAGGAAATAGCAATACCTGGGCTCACATCCTCTGTTTCTTCCCGGAGATAATCTGGTATGTCCATAGGGACCAGCACCCTTCCAGAGCCACACTCCGTCTTCCTCGTGCCCTGGCCATCTGCACTGTTTGCTGTTGTGACCTTCACTTCCTCTTCAGGCTTACTTGTCCCAGGTTCACCACCACTCACACTGGAAGGCAGGGGTTCAGGGTTTTGAATGCTGAATCTCACACTCCGTGTGGTGGTAACGCTGTCCTGATCCTCTGAGTCACTGCTTGTGGACGACCCCTCCACTTTATCCTGAGGAGAGGCCTTCTGGGACGTGGCTTCCTCAACAGGTGTGTTAACCTGCTTCAGGAACTCTTCCACCTGGAATTGTCAGATACCACAGACTGTGAGATGTGCTGGTAACCAGGTGCAAATAAGGCAGTTTAAAAGCATTACAGTTCAAAATCACCTACCATGGATACAATCTTCCATTTTGAAAAAAAAGTAAAATATCTACTAACAAGTAAACCAAAAACATTCAAGTTTTTAGCTCTGCTCCCTCTGCACAACTTTTTCACAACAAGCTGTCTTTGGGAGCCAGACACCAGATTGATGCAAAAGAGAAAAACTCCACAAAATCAACAGCAAATCATTCTCAAATAATATCTGAAATAGCAATAATAGCAGATTTCCCAGAAAACAGGTGACCAAGACTACTATATTTTAATTAACTGTTTTTTTCTCTGATCTGCATTCCAAGAAGCTGTGTTTTGCCTTTCAGGTTAGCATAAACATGTAAAATGACCTTCACACATCAGTTGCCTCACCTCCAAGACGTACCAGATGGTGCATGTATCAGATCTACTGCACAGTAGGTAACTTAGCATTACATCCTGACCGACGTACAGACGTCAGTTCAAACTCTTCAACAGGATATGCAGATGCTCAATTTTAAACTTATTTGCTCTGGGTGGCACTAGGCCTACTAGGCCTTCATGTAATCAAAATGCTCCTCAAACTGTACTGGCTTCAGGTGCAAGACCACAGTGACAAAGCTTTTGATGCACAATTACAGCAATGGGACTGGAGTTTAAGACAATATACACTGTCACCAGCAGAAAACAACGTTGTACAATGGGGTATTAGGGAACACCAAGCATCCCACAAGAATGCAAAGTAACATTTACAATCTGAGGTAACATTTCAAAGAGACTTGACTACTTTAAGGAATGAAGTCATAGGTGGAAATATATGCAGACAGATGTCTAAGCAAGAATGTTGGTATCACTAAAAAACATAAGAGAGCAGGAGTCAGGACTAAACAACAGTAGCTGAAATTCTATGAAATGAACAATCCTGTTTCTGATGTTCCATCAAACCCCTTGTTTGGGCAATCAACACATTAAGTCCTGTGTAGTTCTTTTTACATGAAAGAAGCAACAACTAATATTAATATATTAATGTATTTTATGCAAATCCATATTATACAAATGTCTTTTTTCTCACAACTGAAATGACAGCATCAACAAATACCCTCATATCCACTTTAAGACCAAAGATACCTTTTCTTTTTAATAGCTACAGAAACCTACGCACTCCTCTGAAGGAATGATGCACCCAGACATTAAGAATGACTTCCATGTAACTTCACTATCCCTCTTAACAGACTGACAAGAGTCCACCAATGCCTTTCCATATCTGTTCTAACCTAACTATTCTTCACCGAAGCAAGATGAGGAGGAGAGGAGGAAACAAAAAAAGAAGAAAGAGCATCAGACTGGCACTTAAAAAAAATGTCACCTACTCTATGCATTTTTTTTTCCATAACGCAACAGCTCACCTTCTTCAGAGTTTTATTTTTTTGGGAAGATGTTTCAGGTTCTTCTGTAAAGAAGATGTGTGTGTTCTTACTCTTCCTTGGTTTACGCATGTCCAAAAATCTGGACTTGAGTTTTGCTTTTTTCTCCAAGTACTGCACACTTCGGTGGGTAAAATCTGGAATTCCACCATATCTGAAAAAAAGAAAAAGATTTAGTTGGCGTATTTCCAATTCAAAGTGCTTTTCTTGTTCTTTAACTCATCTCTGTAACTTTGTATTTCTATTGCTAAAGCTTACAGTTTTAAGCTCACAGCACTAAAGACTAACTTTGCATTTATCTTCAAAAAGTTTAACAAAATTGGAATGGAGATGAATGGTCTACTTAAATAATTTCAACAGAGCAAACTGGCTGTGAAGAAACCCCGAGCTCCTCATAAGCAATTACTTTTGTCCTGTGCCACACTTGAAACCCAAAATAGAACAGGTTTCCTCAGGATCTTCCACTGGATTCTCATCCACGTCCAGTTCATGGCTAGGAAAAAACACAGATGACCCAAAAGTTTATTTCTGGTAGGAAAAAAAAAAACAAAAACACACCACAATTATTTTAAACCCACTATTATTTTAAAGAAATGCTACTAGAACTCCTATACTGAGACCATTTAAATGTGAATTTCAGTAATTTTTCCCACACACTGCTGAAACCAAAAAGGGCAGATAATACTAGTCTATTTATATGCATAAGATCTTTTTATCCAAACCAGGGACACTATGTCCTTCCATAGGGGTAATAATATTCCAGCTATTCTGAATAATTTCTCAAAACGTTTAATACCAAGCCCTGTGCAGAACACAAATCATTTGTTCAGCTGATTTCCGAATTACCTTCATGATTTATTATGTTATCTATCACCTTATCCGTTATTAATCTTATGGCAACAGCAAAATGTTATAACAAAAGCAACATCATTAGCAGATAATAATTCCATTCATCCCCTCGTCTTTGAGTTTGTAAACTTACTAGAGGAAAGAAAGAGCCATCCATCATCTTTGTGGTTATAAATTTGCAACAGAGGAAAGAAAAAAACTGTGACAAGGCAGAGATTAGCTATTTTATGATTGTCACAGCACTGAGCACTTTACTGGCAACACATAATTAAGTTAAACAATACAAAATATTTAATAATGTTCTCAGACCTTCTGCACTAACTAGACCTAAACAAATCATCATATCCCATTTTAAAATCTTATATACTTCAGTGACACAAGGTATTGTCACCCTGCACACAAGTCAGCATCAAAGACATACATTCTTTTCATAAAGCAAAGGAAAAGAAGAAATATCTGCTGCTTCTTGCCAGGTAAAGTGGTAGGCAGTGATGGAAGACTATGTGGGTTTGCACTGAAATTTTAACTCATCATCTTGATCAAACAAATTGATGCTATAAATCACAATTTGGAAAAAAAAAAAAAAGATGGTCTAATTTTCATGACTTACCTTCTCTTAACTTTGGCAACTCTGTTTTCAGGAGGCTCTTCTTCTTCATCTTCATTTCTGTCAGGAAGCAGCAACTGTTCTTTGTCATTTGAACTACACGAGTTACACGACCCCTGTGAACCTGAACAGATGAGATCATATTTTCCTTTTGCCTAATCAATTCCAGATCCTCCCATCCCCAAAGTACATCTGCAGATACAGTTGTTTTACATATTCAAATGTGATAAATAAGGCAGAGATGCCAAACCATCCAGATCTTTACCTATCTTCATTTGAGGGACACCTTCCAACACAAGCTTACAGTATTAGTTACACTGCAGAGTTAATAATCTTAAGCAGGACCAACTTCAAAATATCTCAAATCTCCAATAAAAATAAAATGATTGCAGGATAAAAATTACAAAGTTCCTTCCTTGCTCTTATATTTAGTTTACAGTTAAATAGCTGTGTGAAGACATTCACACAGGTTTAATAAGAGGATTCCAACACCTTCTCTCATGTCTTGTTGGAAAGGAGATTTTTCTTTCATCTCTGCCATTCAACTCTACTGGAGGATGAAGATGGGAGCACACCTGCTTCTTCCTTCCTTAGAAGGTCACTAGCAACACTCAGAGGTTTTCCCCATAAAACTAAAGCCCCAAGATGCTGATCACTTACTTCATCCCTCCTCTTCAGCAGAAGAAACCATACATCGGTCAGGAAAGCTGTTAGACTGCTGCTTATCAAACCAGCAAACAGGATGCCCATCTCCATTCTCTACACACTGAACTGGTTGGCTAAAAAGTCTGCAGCCCAATCTTGCACATCCCTCATGGAAACTCTTCCAGTATTGTAAGGCACAGACACTGCCTCTCACCATACCCCTGTACGAGCTGGCACTTTCACTTGTCAGCACTAGCAATGCACAGATGAATTTGGGGTTGTAATGATGACTGCAGCTCACTGCCTAACTGACAGCTTAATGCTGGAAAGGACCTCTGGGAGTCATCTGGTCCACAGTAACAGATGGCTGTCCACTTGTACAACAGAACAAGAGTTTATTTTCAAGCATGGCATTTTTAGACAGCAGGGGAAAACAAGCTACAAAAAAAAAACAAAAAAAAACAACCTGCCAAAACAAACAAACAAACAAAAAAACAAACAAACAAAAAAAAACCTGTGAAACCACATTTTTGGAAATACAAGTTGTAGTTAAATTTGTCAGATTCATGAAAACATCAACCTGAGCTTATTTCATTTTTTTCAGACTGTCAGTGAGAAAAACATCAGCTGAATGACACTGCTGCAACACCAATACTAAAGTAAACAAATAAATCAGTAAGCACCAACAGTGCTCTCTCACCACTTTCTGTAGTACATTTGGGAGATTTATGAAGTATATGTTGTGTTAAAATCACTGTGGCTGAAGAACGCATTCAATACACAGGCTAGAGAAGAGAGAGATGTACCAGAGAATCAGAGGAAATAAAACGGAATGAATTATGCAACCTTTCCATGATATACTCAATCCATGTTTTAAAACAGCTTCATAAAGACATGGGCTTGGTTTTTACATTTTTGTACATAAACATTTAAAAATATACTGATAGAATCAATGTTGGCGATTTTGTATTACCTGACTGGTTAATACTTTTATTTTCACAAGATGCACTCCTTTTCCTGGTTCCTCCATCACAGGGCTCTTTCTGGCTTGAAGCACAACGACACTGGCTTTCACTGTTAGAGGAACCGTGCTCTTGAGGGTCTTCATGGGTTACTGCTGGAGCTGCACTGCTCTGCTCCACTTCGTCCAAATTTAGATTTAAATTACAGATCCCAGAGATTATCTCATTATGGGGCTCAGCACTTGAAGTGAGTGTTTCCTCACCTCTGGTGTGAGAGGGAGACAGCTCCAAGCTCAGCACTTCGCTGCATTCAGCCTCCAGGCTAATGAGGTCCTTTTCTCCTGACAGATCTGCCTCCTGCGTTACCCCGTGAACTTCCATGCTGTCATTGTGTGAGCTCTCTGTAGTCCATCCTTGACTTGTCCAGTACTGAAACTGTTCCCAGTAATACCAGTACAGTTCACTATAATGCTGCTCCCACTCCTCCTTGGTGTCGGGACTATTCCAAGGCTCAGAGGCTGTTAAGACCTCAAGCGATGAGGCCTCTTTATGCTTCTCCAGCCAGCTTTGCCAAAGAAGGCCCTCTCCATACTCGCTCCAGTACTTCTCCCATTTCTCTTTAAGTTCACCGGGTAAGGCCTCATTAGCAAGAGTTTCTGAACTTCCATGGTTCCCTTCACTTACAATTTCAGTTTTGCTCTTCTCACTTTGCTCTGTAGCTGGGGCTGGGTCATCAGAGATGGACTGCTTGTGATCCCCATTAGCTTGATCCTGGCATTCCTGCCCCATTTTATCCCTGTGTTTTTGCTGTAATTCCTTTTTCTTCTTTTTCTTTTTCATGATCTTCATGTTACTTCTCTTTCTGTATTTTTCTGTTGCCTAAAATAAAATGAATAAACTTATTTAGAAGTCCAAAACATCTAGGCAGTCTTTTCTTGTCCTCCCTGCATGTACATTTCTGCTTCTGTTGTAACCCTCCCTCTCACTGCAACCCCACTGTTAGCTTTTTCCCCATAAAAATGGGCTTAGGATTATACGGGTCTGATAGGACCTAGCTGCTTAACTCTAGCTCACGTCTGAGAAAGTTGTGACAAACAGCAGTGAGAGCTTCTGTAAAAAGATGCACCAAGAGAAGTCAGAATTCCAGACAGAAGCAGGATTGCTGGGAAAGAAGTCACTCACTGCTCAGGGATTTACAAAAAAATACATCAATGTGAAACACCATAAAATGCTGAAGGGAGGTTAATCAGAAACTGTTGTCACTGGATTGAGCTCAACAGTAAAACGCAGTAACACGAAGGACTGCTTGGGGGGGGGGGGGGGGCATAGAAACACAAGACAAAAACCTCTTTCTGAAAGAAAACACTAAGGTTTCAATAAATACAACTCCACTTGCTTCAGTGGGGCTTCCTGTGCTCACACACGAGATAAAAACATCCATGAACAACACAACATTCTACAAGATAAAGCTGCTAATTTCTGAATAAACTGCCAAATTAAACTTGGCAGGTACAAGGGTGGTGGTGGTGGTGATGAGGCAATACAACTCACATGGCCAAAAACCTGCAAATGTATGGGTATTACCCCAAATGCCTTGTCAGTTGCCATCCCTGGTTTTGTTGCACTGACACATGCATAAGGTGTAACGTAAAGGAGTTAGGTTCAGAGAACTGGCATTAATATTTTGTTCACATCCCTCATAATGTCATGTTAATACACATGGTGCAAAGCACAACGCTTAGTAGTAATCTAGTAAAAACATGTATTATTTTCTCACTTGACTTATTTGCAGTACTACTAAATAGCAACACAAATCATACGCATACCTTGGGCTTGAAGTCAGATGCCAGTCTATTAAAATGTCATCATTTAAAATAGTAAATAGAATAAACTTGTGTATTACTGGAACAGGCTCCCCAGGGAAGTGGTCACTGCACCGAGCCTGACTGAATTTAAGAAGAGATTGGACTGTGCACTTAGTCACATGGTCTGAACTTTTGGGTAGACCTGTGCGGTGTCAAGAGTTGGACTTGATGATCCTTAAGGGTCCCTTCCAACTCAGGATATTCTATGATTCTATGATTCTATGATTAACAAATTAATCAGGTCAAAATAATAGAGTGCTCTGCAAAAAAAGCACTTTCACTCCAGGAAGGTCTGTCTTCTATGAAGCAGTTGCAGTGAATATCCCACTACCTTATTCTCACCCACACAAAACTTTATCCTTCCTTTAGAGCGAAACTGCTCTGTACAGGGAGCAGAGTACCCCAGCCTAACTCCTGTCCTTTGGAACAGCCTGGCTTGATCAGCTACCAGGGGAATGCACTTACCTAGCTTTTTCTACTACTGTCTAAAGCTTAATGGTTAAAGGAGACAATGTGAACACACATGTTCAGTTTGGAATATACATGCTGTCCTGCAGCAGAGCACCAGTGTTACCATGGCTGTTTTAAAACAGCTCCCTCTAGCAGCTCAAGCAATACAGACAGAGAAGCACAAAGCACAGCCAACCCCTATCTAGTCCAACTGGCAAATGAGTTTTACAAACTACAAGACCACGATGGTATACATCACTACAGATACCTGAGCAAAAGCAGCTTAACCCCAGCTTGGATACATTCCATGAACTGCAGTCTCAGAAATAATTGAAGAGTAGATGTGCCCCTACATTTGGAAAGATAAAGTAAACAGAACAAATAAAGCACATAAAGATTTACCACAAAGTCCCTGTGAGCTGACTGTCCACCAAAGTGAAGAGGCAATCCCATACTCTTCATAAGCTCAGCCTCTGAGTCTAGCTCAATTTCTTCCAGGTCCAGAGCATGATTACTGTCCACCTTGAATGCCACATTGGGACAACGGTTTTCCTCCTCAGATGCTTGTTCTTCCCCTATTAACAAATTATATTAAGTGAATATAATCTGATTGACACCTCCATGCATCAGTATGGCCTATAAAAAATAGCAGAATCACCTCTTAAGCTCTGCCATTTAAAATTCTTCTCTTAAGTACATGAGAAGCTATTAACAGATACAGCACCTTTCATCTTTTGCTCTAGCTCATCAAAACAGTAATATTACTACAAATGTAAAGTTTTATACATTAGCATTTTTTCCCATTAACCCGATATTAACACTTGCATGAACTTTCCAACTGTGTCATTATTTTAATATGATTATTTTCTCCTTTTCATGAGCATGATACATTTGCCATCCTACAAAAGAAGAAGGGATACATTTTCAAATCAGGCATCAATTTCTGTATGTCTTTGCTCCCAGGCTGAAATACCCTACATTTTTAGCAAAAAGAGGAAGCAAAAACAAGTGGAGAACTGAAGTGCTTGACTAACAGTAGAAACCAAAATCCAGCTTCAATAGCCAAAACTGTGTCTGACTGGGATGGAGTTAACCTCCTTCACAGCAGCCTGGACCGTGCTGTGTTTTGGAATTGTGGCTGAGACAGTGTTGATAACACACTAGTGTTTTGGCTAGTGCTGAACAGTGTTTTCACAGCATCAAGGCTCTTTTTCCCCACTCTGCACTCCCCAACCATTAGACTTGGGGGTGGGCAAGAGAGACTGGTAGGGGACACAGCTGGGAGAGCTGACCCGCCTGGCTACAGGGATCATCCATACCTTATAATGTGATGCTCAGCAATAAAACCTGGGGTAGAAAAAGAAAGAAGTTTTTTTTGGCTACCTAGGTGGCTGTTGCTCAGAGGCTGGCTGGTCACCCATTTGCTTATGAGAGGTTGTCCTGGTTTCAGTTAGGACAGAGTAATTTCCTTTGAAATTTCATTTGCCTTCTTTTTACCTCTTTCCCATACCTATTAAACCACTTTTACCTCCAGCCATGAGTTTTCTTGCCTGTGCTCTTCGTATTATTTCCCCCATCCCATGCAGCAGGAGGGAAGCAAGCAAACAGCCATGTGGCGCTTGGCTGCCAGGCAGGGTCAAACCACCACACACATCCACTTCATTAACTGAAGAAGTGAACTGCAAAAATACCCAGCAAGCAACACAGCCCCCCCTCCACCACCACCACAGTATTATAAAAATAAAATTCTTTACAGTAGTTGTTTTGGCATGTATCACAGCAAACTTAAAATACAAGAAACCGCCAGTTTTGTTACAGTTCTTTCAGAAGAAGGAACTTTCTTTCACTGCCTTCATATCAGATTTACAAAAAATATTGATGGCGTGGCTTGCAAGACATCAGGGTCATTGCTTCTTCCCTTAATTCTGGACCAACAGATTCATCAGCACCAGCTAACGCCCTAGGCTAGGGAAGAGGCAGAGGACTGTACTGCTGCCAGCTGGCCCACCTAGGATCTACAGACATTAGTTTTTAGTTGGGGAAGGTGAAATTATGAATTGAGAGCAGTCAGACACATGAGCTACTGGACTTTGTGCAGCAGGCAGCGATTATGTGCGCTGGTAAATCTGTGCGGGCAGAAATAAGCATTGTGCCTGGCTTGACAAAAAGTTCCACATCAAGACTGTTGTGACTTGAAAGCTACATACGTGCCACGTTTTTACTCACAACTGTCTTTGTAACAAAAGTACATAAAAACACGCCCAAAATAGGCACAAAGGTATGGGCTAGTGGTTACGCAGTCCTACCGTACCCTAAATAGCCACACACAACTCACATAATATCTGGGCACACAGCATGCTGTGCATTGTGTTACCTTACCTGTACTGCCATTGTCATCTTTGACATAAAATCCCTTTAATCCCAGCTTATATAACTTCCGATCCCTATAAAAATAAAGAGGAACATTGATGCAGCCAGCCACCATTAAACAAAGCGACAAAAAGAAAACGAAAAAGGCCTCCCTAAAGCCTGACGAACGGAGCCTAGAGACGCTCAGAAAACACTGCTGGAAGGCAGAACCCCCTGAGGGCATTTTAGGGCCAGAAGGGTGTAATTTTCGGTGGGTCCCGGCCACCTCCCCGTGTCCCCGTGTCCCCTCCCTCTGCCTCCGCGCGGGCTCCATGCAGCCGCGCGCGGCTGTTTTTTTTTTTCTTTCTCCTTTTTAATTTTTAGTTATTCATCACCCCCCTTTCTTTTCCTCCCCCTTCCCTTCTTCCTTTTCCCTTTTTCCTTTTTTCCTCGCCTTTTTTTCCTCTCCCTCCCCCCTTTTTCCCCTCCCTCCTCCCTTTACCCCCCCCCCACTATATCCGCTCTAGCAGCTCGGTCTCCCTCCCCAAACACACACCCCGACCCCTCACTCACTCGACGAAGGCTCGGGAGCAGAGGCACACGATGCCGCCCTGCCGCCCCCGCCCGCAGCAGCAGCCCGGCCACCAGCACCCCCCGCGGCTCCTGCACCATCCCCGGCCCACGCCGCAGCCCCGCGGCCGCCGCCTTCCGCCGGAACTGCCGCCAGCAGCCGGCCCGCCCCGAGCACCCAGCACCGAGCACCGGGCCCGGCCCGGCAGCCGGGGGAGGGCGCCCGCCGCCCCCTTCCTTACAGGAAGATGAATTCCCAGATAATAAAATCATGGTTTTGTGGGCTTACCCTGGTAGCCTGTCTACTGGCAGTGGCGGAGTTATAGCAGTCTACATGCATGCTCTGTCTGCAGCCCCCCTGCGAGGTGTTTGGTTTTGATCTTAGCTGCATTCGACACAATCTGCTCTGGTGTTTGTGTGCTGTGCTGCCTTGTTTCATTTGCATCAGTGGGTTACCAGGCTATATGGCCTCACGGGAACGCAAAATGGCCTTGGGAGTTTTAAGAAGTGTCAGATTGGAAATGCGGAATAAAGGGAATTTGGATGCAGGACTCACCATACAGGTGGCAATAGGACAACCACCGTCCAGCAACAAATCCTATTACAAACAAAAATCTTAAAGCGAATTGTGTCCTGAATTCCACATACTCTCTCATCTGGTATAACCAAAATTATTAAATACTATCATTACCCAGGATTTTTTGTATCTATCACTTTCTAATTATAATACTTCAGAAATACAAAGATAACACCAATTCTAGCACTTATATAGGTATAACTGCATCTGCTATTAAGAAACTACGTCACCTTAGTATTTCGACACTGAAAAAGTCATAAAACAAAAATATTTCAACACAAACTGTTTAGCAACAGCCTTGTGCTGAGTTGAATTGTGGGTTGTGAAATATTTTGGGAATTATTATACTCCTAAAGAAACAATACTACATTTCAAGTGAAATACAAAGAATACTTTTGTGTACGAACAATATGGTTATTCTTTACATAGAATCATAGAACGGCTTGGGTTGGAAAGAGATCTTGACTTCTAGTTCCAATCCTCCTGCCGTGGGCAGAGGAGACACCCACTAGATCAGGTTACCCAAAGTCCCATCCAACCTGGTCTTGAACACCTCCACTTCTCTGGACAACCTGTTCCAGTGCCTCACCACCCACTGAGTAAAGAATTTGGACTTGCTGAACCTCATTAGGTTTGCGTGGACACACATCTCAAGCTTGTCCAAATCCATTTTGGTGGTGTCCCTTCCTTCTGCTGGGGGTGCGCTCGGTCCCACTATGTCATTGAAAAATATGTTAAACAGGACTGGTACCATGACAGACCCCTGAGGGACACCACTCATCACCAGCCTCCGTCTTGTCATAGAGCCATTGACTGCAGCTCTCTGGCAGCAGCCATCCAGCCAATTCTTTATCCACTGAATAGTGCACCCTTCAAATCCATCTCTCTCTAACTGAGAGATCAGGATGTCATGTGGGACCATGTCAAAGGCCTTACAGAAGTCCAGGTAGATGACATCAGTCGGTCTTCCCTTGTCAAGTGATGTAGTCGCTCCATCGTAGAAAGCCACCATATTGGTCAGGCACGATATATCCTTAGTGAAGCCATGCTAGCTGTCTCAGATCATCTCGGATCTTTGTCTTGCATGTACCTTGACATTGCTGCCAGGAGGATCTGTTCCATGAACTTCCTAGGCAAAGAGGGGAGGCTCACTGGTCTGCAGCTTTCCAGGTCCTCCTTTCTAAAAATAGGAGTGACGTTTCCCATTTTCCAGTCACCAGGGACTTCAGCTGACAGCTAGGACTCTTCAAATATAATGGAGAAAGGCTTGGCAACTGCATCAGCCAATTTCTTCAGGACCCTGGGATGCATGGCATCAGGCCCTGTAGACTTGAACCTGTTCAGTTTCATCAGGTAGTCTCAAACCTGCTCTTTGCTTACAGTGGGAGAGCATTCCCAGGCCACATGCCCCTGCTTTTACTGCCTGTGCATTTCCTTCTTATGCCTCAGTTTGACCAGCAGGTCCTCGCTCAGCCATGCCAGTTTTCTGCTTTTCCTACTTGCTTTCTTAAAGATGGGGATGCAGTGTTCTTGCCAGCTCTAATCAGTTCCTCTGTCCCTAAGGACAGTGTCCCAGGGAGTCTCATCTACTAGGTCTTTAAATAGCTGGAAGGTCACTCTTCTGAAATTCAGGGTGGTCACTGCAGCCCAGACTGCCTCCAATCTTTAATGAGTTCATCTGCATTGGTGAGCACCACGTCCAATAATGCTTCTCTGGTTAGTTTATCTAATACCTGGACTAGGAATTTATCCCAAAGCACTCCAGGAGTCTCCTGGATTGCTTGCAGCCTGCTGTGCTGCTTTCCCAGTAGACATCCAGGTGGTTGAAGTCCTCCTCCATCAGGCAGAAAGCATGCGAGCATGATGCTTCCTACAGCTGAAGCAGTAAGGCCTCATCAACAGGCCTTGGGCCCTTGATCAGGTGGCTTATAGTAGACCCCAACCACAAGGCATCCTTTATTGGGCCAGTCCTTAACTTTTACCCACAAGCTCTCAATCTGTCCGTGGCTGTTTCTCAGAAGCAGCTCTTCACAATCTATCAGTTTCTTAACATAGAGGGCAACACCCCTGTGCCTCCTTCCCTGACTATCTCTTCTGAAAAGTTTATAGCGCTCGATTGCAGTGTTCCAGTTGTGTGATAATATCCTAGCTCAATATTGGATATAATATTTATATTTATAATATCCAAACCCAATATCATCCAGCCCCAAGGAGGAGCCACCTGCAGGTAAGGCCAGATGTTTATCCCTGCTGATACTCTCCTGTTCTCCAGCCATCTGCAGCTGATGTATATGATTTCTGCCTGTTTAGTAACACCATGGATTTCTCCTTATGCTACTTAGCCAGTTTTCCCCTGGAGCCATCATCTGGCAGTGAATTGCACAGGTCTGTCAGCTGTTGCATGAAAAATCACCTTCGTCATTTCTAATATGGCTTCTATCAGCTTCCAGAGATGCTACCATATTAGAAAACCCACTAACCGATCTGTACTCAGCTGCTATGCTACTGGATTATATATGTGTCAATCATATTCCTTGTATTCTCTTTCCCAAGCTGAAGAGCCCTGTCATATTCAGTGTTCCTTCTCTGTGAGCCAGTCTGCACCTCTGCTTTTCCTTATTACTCTTTTCTGACCTTGTTTTAGTTGGACTCTGTCCTAGAAGAGATACCTCCTTTGGACCAACACTGCACAAGTAAGTCTGACAGATGCAAGACAATGCACTTGGAGTATGATTTTTAGCAGATAGGGTTTTAAATGTTTCGCTAACTAGCAGAAAGGTGTGTGTAACAGTGCTTAGGTCATTTTAGTTTGCATTGGCAAATAATGTACTTAAGCAAAAGTAAAATAAGCCACCCTTAAAAAAACGCCTGCTGATGATACAGGTTTTAAAAAGGCATATGTAATGAAGCTGGTCTAAGTTTGTGCTTGACAAGGAGTTTGTCTTATAGGAAAATAATGGACTGCTTCACATTGGCACAGTTTGGGGTTGAGATGCCCTTCCAATGGAACTTGAAAAAATTTACCTGGTAAGTACAAGTTGAGCCAAATCTGTAGCTTGTAGCAAATGACCTTTGCCTTAGCGTGCCAGGACATGAGCAGGACACATGAAGAGCGGGGCAGTGGACTACAACCAGTGGCAGAGGGCATTGTGTATGAGCCCTCCACTTCCACACGCCTGCATGGCCCTGGTGATCTGTCTTTTTCCTACTTAACTTCTCCTGCTGGCCCATATTCTCTTCTTGCTTGTCTTGGCCTGAACTGCTGCCTCGTCTCATTCCCTGACTCTCACTCCTGTTTACTGCTCTCACACATCATGTTTGCCTGCAGCATCAAAGCCCTTCATGGGCCTTACAGTTATTTTTTTTCGATAGATGAGACATCCACTTGCCAGTGACCCTGGCTTCGTAACTTCTATCTGTGCTTCTCAGAGTGTGGCCTTGCCTCCTGGCTGGCTTTAAAGCTGTTCATTTCTTCCTTCTTTTGAAATCCCTTATCAGGACTAACTTCCATCATTATTGACTAAATAAGGGTAAGTTGAGGAGTGCTGAGAATTCTGCCCTTAGCTGTTGAAAGCAAAACTGACACAAATACATGCAATGTGTATATTTTATATACAGAAGATGTTCTTGGAGTAACTCTTATCCTGTAATTCTGAGCTCAAGTCTTACAAGCACGTGTACCTTACTGTGTGACAGAAGTGCTGTAGAAGTAAGGCAAATACTTCTGAGTCAGGCTGGGGTTTATATTATATGCCTATGTAAGAACTCATAGAAAAGGACTTTCACTCTTCATGGAGGAAATGTTTGGGTTACATACCTATCAGAATATAATCAGAATCCAAGTCTTTTATCAAAGGCTTGGTTTATAAACAGATTTAAACAGAGCAAAATTTTCTGAGTTATATGTTTCAAAACACAGTCATTCTATCATCTTTCTGTAGTGGATAAGCCCAGAGAAATATCTAAGAGTATTTAATTCACTGTGCTGTTTTCTCTCTTACCAGCAAGTGATATGTGGCCTGAATCCCATACAGGAAAATCTATAATCTGTACCATTTATATATGGGAAGAATAGATTCAGCTGCAGTATCAGCAAGACTTTCTGCATTGTGTTCACTGATTCTGGTTGAACTAAACTCCAAGTATATGTTTGCATCTTATGGCTTCCTGCTTGGCATTCTGTACCTTTTCAGTCTTTTGCTTCACATTTGAAAGAATGGCTTAAAGGAACATTATTCTAGTAAACTATGGGACAGAAAAAGGGAAATGGCAGTAAATCTGTAGAGTATATATGGAAAATTATGGCATAGTGAGTTTTTTTGTTTGTTTGTTTTCATTTTGGCTTTAAATACAGACTCTAATAAAGAGGAGAAACTGGAGGAAATGTCAGTTCTTCAGCTGTGGATGTATGCAGAAGGATATAGAACTGAATTAAGCTTCAGTGACCTTTGAGTCCTCTAAAAAGGTGTTTGGCAATGTAAAAATGAACTCTATTTGTGCCTTGAGAGAAGAGAACTACCAGTCTCAGAATTATCTCCTTTTTTTTTTTATTTATTTTTTTTTTTTTTAAGGCTAGAGCCCATT